GAATACCTGAATTCATAACTCCCTCACTTGATATCAAAATAAATAATGGTAAATATTGCTATAGTCTACATGTATGGGTTTCTCTCATTTCTCTCATTTTGTCCTAACCTTAAATGTATGCACATAGCCTATAATGTGGGTAATATGGACATAACCTAACCCATGTAAACTTTATTCTACACTGCCTGTTTACGCTCCTTATATACTCTCATTCGGTAGAAAAGGTTTCATTTTCACAGAAGAAAAAATAATGATTATGAGATCCTTATCTCATAACTGCGAGATCTTTTCTCGACTATATGATTTTTTTTCATTGTCATTGCGAGATAAGGTGTAAAATTGTATTTAATGTTATGAATGTGATGCGCTTCTGTATAAAAGTCATTAGATGTATCACTTTATTTGCATTAACTGGATTATGTTATATAACTGTAATCCAACAATCTCTTTTATGTCCTCTGAATTTCTTACTTTTTCCTCAAGAAAGACTTTCTGTACTTTTGTACTTCATTGTAAATGTATTCCTCCGCAGCCTAAATACTACATAATATCATCAGCATATACTCCTCTCACATGTAAATGATCCAAAAATGTGGGATGTTTGTTGGCCTGCTTCTCTGTAATCAGTCATCATTATTCAAAGAGCGCTTTGACCGTCATTTCATGTCAGATAGGCCTGATCTTCACTTCAAAGGGACATGCTCTGTGCTGGTCCGAAATGGTCCGATAATACATCGCACTGATGTCTCTCTGTCCCTACTTAAGAGTAATCTTACTCTTTCCACTGCGCAGTGTGCAGAGGCAGGGTCCCCGTTTCCCTGCACAATCAGAAAATGAAGAAAGAAGAAAACATTTGAGAGCCAGTTTTGCTTCCTTGCATCTAAATACAACAAAAATCAACATGAATACATTATATATTGACACTACTACTTTCTTCATGTGGTGTGTAGATGTACTGCTCATTTTGGAGGCAACTAAACTTGATTTACACATCGTTTCCCTCTCATTTCTTAATCTCACTGAATGTATGTTTTGTTACAAGAGTGTGCTGATTGCACACAGCAGGAGAGGACCATGTTTGTCATTGAAGTAGTCTGTAGATTATTCGTCTATATTTTAGTTTCACAGTTTGATTCCACACTCTTTTGGGCTCAATCAGCAGACTGTTGTTTTACTTGTAGATTGTCTGCAGAGAAACACATCAAAGATTATATATTTCCAAAATAACACCCAACATTTGAGAAAAGTGACTTATTGTCTTTGCTGGCCCTGAAAGTAAAAGCAAAAAAACGAGCTGGTAAGATTTTGATTGCGTTTTCTCATACAATGGATTCTCCTCTTGTGATGGCCTTGAGTGAAACAATTGTGAAAATCCATCATGGACTGATAGATGTGAAGCTAAGGAAGAGGAGGGGGTATAGATGGCTGGGGGGGGTCACATACAAAGAAGTGACAGAACAATGTCATCACCAAACAGATGCTTTCACAAAGTCCCTTGGGAAACAAAAAAGATAGATACACCCAAGACAACTGAAACGCTGAAGGAGGCACTCTGCAAAGAATATAAAAGGTATAGGCGAGTAGTAATTTAATTTACTGATCAACTATTTGATGGATCGTCATTTAAGTTAGTGCAGATATTCATGGTCCCCAGTGGTTGAAGGCTACTGACTTTGGTGATCCACTGTAGCGCCACCAGGAGGTTGACATTTAGCAAAACGAATGAATTTCCCGCCTAACCTGTGTTTAGGGCTACTCAGCAACTCTTAGCATGCTAGGCAGCTAAACTAAGATGGTGAGCATGGTAAACATCATGGTAAACATCACCATGTGGTGGAAAAAGTACTCAGATCCATAACTTAAGTACAATTATTAAATAAAAGTGAAAATAGTGCGTGATATATTAAATTGTATTATATTATATCATATCATGAATATGCATGATTATGACTTTTCTTTTATTTCTTTCGACATACTATACTGTGACTTTTAAACTAGTTAGTCTCCCATTTCTGCCAAAGCCTTAAAACATACTATGATATGAACTTTTTTCGACATACTATACTATTACTTTTATGACATAAAACAATCTTTCCACTTGGTGCTCCATTTGTCTTTCTGGCTCTTCTTTATCCTGCAGGATCAGGGACCTGATCTTCATGAGTCACACCTGGACCAGGTCTGGTATATAACCTCACCACCTTCCACTCAGTCCCACTCTCTCTTCCGATGCTGGAGCGTCTGTTGTTTTGTTTTGTATACTGCAGACGTTTCCACACGTCCACACATGTTCACATGAATGATTGCAACATCAAAGTTTGTTCTGTTCTTTATTGTTAATGTATAAAAGAATATGCTTGATTATGACTTTTCTTTTACTTTTTTCGACATACTGTAACTTTGTTTTAACTTTCTATGGCATACTACACTGTGATTTTTCATGGCATGCCATACTGTGATGTTTCTATGACTTTTTATAGCATACCATACCATGACTATTTATGACTGTTTATGGCATACTATACTATGACTCTTTCATTTATGTTATTGACATCCTGTAGTCATACATTTATATATATATCTTTTTTTTTTTTTTTTTTTTTTTTTTAAGGTTTCCATGATATTCTAAAGGCATGCAATAGTAAAGCTCTGGCTTTACGAAGAGTTTATCGTAAAAGATGATTTACATATTTGACATTTAGCGAATATGCTTCATACTACTGTATAAAAAGCCATTATTGTAGGTGAGGGGGCAAATATCTCTGCTCCTTTCACTAGTTAATTAAAGAACACTTGCTTTGATGTTTCCTCTTTCCTAATCTGCTGAGTGCACTCTTGAATAAATCAGTCCAATTTAGCCCCACCTAAATCCCTGTCTGACAGCTGTTCCAAAATAAAGCACACCCAGGTGGCTTTTTGTCTCTCTTCGTATGTCTTGTTTTTACCTAATCTCAATGCTGCTAGGTAGCCAAATCATTCTGTAAAATTGTTTGAGATAATCTTCTTGCATCTAGCTTCTTTGACACAAGCATGTTTATTTTATTCACTGAAAGTCTTAAGTCCTTGAGCACAACAATAGTTCTCTAACGAGTGGATGTGTAACAAATCCTCTGCAGTGACAACTGTTCAAAGCTTATTTGATATACAAGGAATTTGTGGACAATTTCTGCACCAAACCAATTAGAGGCTGCTGGTGAACAAAACACATCTGTGTTTCAGGGCTCGTTTGATTTAATCCAATCACAGTTATATTCATTTATTTAACCAGAACTATACATTTGTCGCGGTCATGACCTCCTGTTTCAATGGCAGCAGCACTTTTTTTTTATTACAATAACAATGAAGAGGCCATGCACGTTGATCTGGCTGAACAATAAGCTTCTCTGCTTTTTGAATAAAACATGTATGACGCAATTTGTGACACCACAGATGACAAGCGTTGGGCTATAATCAAACAGTTGCCTCAAAACAGCCTACATTGTCTATTTTTTGGCATTTTATGATGTTTTTCTGCAAACAAATATTGTTTTATCATGCTGGGTTTATTGCTGCTTTTAGCTAGTTGTGTAGAATTTGAATTATGTATTCCTATTGTGTATTTACTTGAGTTTACAAATCCGAACCTTTAGAATTATTTTTTTTTTCTACTTCTCTTTTTCATTACAAAATCTCTTTTGTCCTTTGAAATATAAATTATTTTAGTATTAATACATATAAAACCGTTGTGTTATTCTTCTTTTAAAAGAAGGCAGACAGTGGTTGATAGGGAGCTCGACAGTGAGCGGTTGATGTGCTCTTTGCTCCTATAGGTAGATGTCCTCAGAGTGGAAGTCAATAGGAGGATTTCACAGGTTTTTTTTACCCAGTCAGAAACAGTTGTGTAATGACTTTAGGAGGAGGAGAGCTGCAAAAGTAAGGCAATGGATGGAGATGGGCCACTGCCTCTGCACTGTTTAATTAAACCCTTAGAGACTAGCTGTGTCATATGCATTCATTCTGCCACATGAATAATACAAAACACTGCAGGCTCATTCAAAATAATCTCAGAAAACTGCTCCTTCCAGGGCTCTGCCCATGTGACGGGGTTTTTGGTCCCTGCTTCAATTCAATTAGTGTGTTTGGAGAGCAGTTGGTACAGAACATTTACTATAGGAGAGAGGCGCTGCAGCTCAGGTGATTTGGCAACAGAAACAAAGAATAAATACAAGTTGATTAAGAGTTGGCAATGTTTGGCAGTGTTTGATTATGATAATGTCTTTTTGCACCTGATTAAAGCTATTGTGTGTGTGTGTGTGTGTGTGTGTGTGTGTGTGTGTGTGTGTGTGT